CTTCACGTTGCTGTCTCCTCCTGACATGATTCTTTATTTAGAGACAGTCGTAGATAACTAGAAATTATTAAGAACTTGAAGAGATTAAAAAAAAATAGTGTGAAAGAGAATGCCCACAATGAAGGAATAAACAGACAAATCAGTAAACAAAAGCAAACTTACTTAAAAAAAAAAGTATTTTTAAAAAAATTTGCTATAGGGCACATGTGCTCACTGGAGAGAATGAGGGGAAGTGAGAAAACGCCCCTAGAGGGGATGGCCATGCAACCATACCTTCTATTCCATTCTTCTTTTAGGATTTTGAGCACGCCATTACACATGGTTAGTGTTGTGTTTTGTTTTGTTTTAAGAGAGATTTTTGCTATAGGGCTCATGTGCTTGACAGAGAGATAGAAAGTGAGAAATCACTTCCTAGTGGGGGATGGCCATGTCTCAAGTCCTTCTCCTCCATTCTCCTCTCAGGATTTTGAGCACTTAAGCATATGTGTCCAGTGTGAGTTAGCCCAAACTTACTTAAAAAAAAAAGTATTTTTAAAAAAATTTGCTATAGGGCACATGTGCTCACTGGAGAGAATGAGGGGAAGTGAGAAAACGCCCCTAGAGGGGATGGCCATGCAACCATACCTTCTATTCCATTCTTCTTTTAGGATTTTGAGCACGCCATTACACATGGTTAGTGTTGTGTTTTGTTTTGTTTTAAGAGAGATTTTTGCTATAGGGCTCATGTGCTTGACAGAGAGATAGAAAGTGAGAAATCACTTCCTAGTGGGGGATGGCCATGTCTCAAGTCCTTCTCCTCCATTCTCCTCTCAGGATTTTGAGCACTTAAGCATATGTGCCCAGTGTGAGTTAGCCACTGGGTCTGGGACTTGAACTGCCATTGACTATGTGTGAGTCCAGCAATATAACCATTATGCCATCTGCTAGTCCTGACTGGCGTATTTTTTAAGCCACTGGATCTGGGACTAGAACTATGGAATTGCCCATATAGGATCCAGTCTTAACCACCACACAACCAGCTGGTCCCAAAAAATGCATTATTAACCAAGAATGGGCTATATTAAGTGGGGGTGATCTGAGAATTAAAAAAAAAAATCCTGTGTATACAGACATATACATGTATTTTATATTATTACATAATGTGTTATGTGCTAACCCTAAAATATATACATAAATTACACTTGATAAATTGCTGATTAAAAAAACCCATTTATTTATTTACCTATTTTTTTGTTATTTTCTAGCTGTTGGGTTGAGGACTTGAACCACAGTCAGCCAACTGAGCACCTTGACCACCATGCCACCTGCTGGCCCCCAATTGCTGGTCTTTTTTTAAAAGAATAATCTGAATTAGAAAGTGGACATGGACAAAAGTAAAATGTTTATTGGCAAAATGCAGTAGAATATAGAGAAACATAAAGGCAAAGCAATGGAAGGAGAGTGTAAAGTAAGCTTTACTGAGAAAGTGCATATAGGTTCTCTGCCCACTCCTAAAGAGTTCAGGTTAAAAGAAGGAGAAAGATGGAAAGAAGGATATAAAAGGATATAATCAGAGAAACAGCAGATCAAAAGGAAAACATTGTCAGATATCAAATATCTGTTATTGAAAATGGAATTAATAAAACAATGACTCTCAAACCTAGACATTTATTTAGGATTTTTTTAAAAAAACTCCAAGGATATACTACAAAAATCTATCAAAAGAAGACAATGTACTTAGTTCACACTGTCAGACATTAGGAATGCTGGATCTACAGAAAAATTATATCATCCTAATTTTGATGAGAGACATTTTCTTTAGATTTCTGTATTTAATCAAATGTTCAGCTGACACACACTATTGAGAATGAATGTAAGAGGAGTCGATTCACCTGAGGGAAAGCAAGATTGGTAGCTGAACCCAATCCAGAAACAACAGTCTATCTGCTATTGGTACCTGGTAGCTGCTTCTTTAAGCCATAACTTTTAATAACATTACGTTAAATTTTCTTCATTATATTTAGTTCTGCAGTGAGTTGTACTTGAACATTTAAGTTGATATTAATTATAGAACATATAGTGTTAGAATCAAACTATAGACACAATCAAAAACCCAATTATAGATATAGGAAAGAATTCACTGCTCTAACCCTTGATGTAAAAGTAATAGAATCGCTAAGAAAAATGGTAAAAGATTAATGGGAATATTAGTAAAAGAACATTAAGTGCCATATTCTGCATCTTTCATAAGGGAACAATAGGTTCTGCCTCAAATTGATGTGTCGGGAAATAATTTAAACTTGTTTTAATTAGTGTTGTCAACCAAAAAAACAAAGGAAATACTCATTCACACATATGTACTAAAAATTGGGCAGTGAAACTGGGAAGGGAAAGTATTTAAGGTTATAAATAGAATGCATCTCTTTCGCTTATTTCAAAAACTCTATTAGTTCATGAAATGGATCCATCATGAAATGGATCTGTGAGTTCACTCTTTATTATTTATTTATTTGAGCTTTTTGCTGTAAGGTGCATGCACATACCAGAGAGACAGAAAGTGAGAAATCATTCCCCTGGGGGGATGGCCATGCCACAATCCCTTCTCCCCCATTTCATTATCACTATTTTGGGCATACACGCACCCACACCCAGTGTGTTTTAATTCCCAGGTCCAGGACTGTGCTCCACCACATAGGAGTCCAGTACCTTAACCACTACACCATCGCTAAACCCTGAGTTCACTCTTTAAAGATAAAAGATAACTATACCATGTAAAAGCAAAACAAAAATCTACTAATACTATTTGTCTCTAAAAACTAAGCTTTAAGGTTAGTTACGTAAGGGAAAAAAGGTTTTTAGTTTCCATTAATTATTATTATTTTTGCTGCATGGATTATATTTTTACCCAAGTGCCTATATTAGTTCTATAACCAATACAATCCCAAGTTAAAATTATGTACCCTGGTCTAATATCTAATTTATCCTTATTGTACCTGAATAAATCAAGACAGCTTCTAATGAATAAATATGTCTTCAAAGAATAAAGACTCAGCACTAGAGAATATTATGAAATGTCAAAAACCAGGAGCTTTCCTAACAGTAGTCTGTCAAGATCTTAGGGGGAGGAGGTAGGAGTAGCTATAAAATCTTGGACTATGCAATTATCACAGTACCAGGGCGTCTAAATAAATGACACATGTTCAACCATCTCCAAAGAGCCCTTCAGGTAGAAAGCTGAGGTCTATATTGCAATGTCTTCTTCTATTTCCAATCTTCTTCCAAATATACCTTCTACTATCTTAAGAAAACTCAAGCAACCATGGGTTCATAAGTTGAGGTTTTTAATTGCTTATCCTTCCAAATCTTCTATCACTTCCCTTTAATATTCCATAAAGCCACTGAATTCTATACTTCTATTTGCTACATCATTTTTGATAGCAAACAAAAGGTTCTAATAGTTAAATTAACAGAACAAAAACACATTTTGTGATAAAACCTGAAAAAAGCATTTAGCTTCAGGGAAGAAATAATCTACCTCTGGTACTTATGCTGAGAAAATAACAGAGAGTAGAACAATGTAAATCAAGACATTCTTGTTTTTGTAGGTTTCAAAATTCTCCACTTAAAACAGTAGACCTCACTATGATTAATGTTCAGTCACTACCATTTGTATATGCAACACTCTTCCTTTAATGCTAACAAAAAAGTAATTCAAAGGGTTTTTTTTTTTTTTTGAGAATATAGATTTCAATCCTCAGTGCCTTAAAAGAGTGTGTGCTGGGTCTATTAGAACAAGTTTCAGACTCCAATCAGAGATCTCAGGCTCACTATGCTGTAGATGCTCAGCCACCCAGAAGGCCTGACTACTTTGTAGGGCACACCACTCATGAGATGGGTGAACACTGAACTGTTAACTATCAAATACACTGATGCGCACATATAGAGATCTCTGTATCACTTGATCTGCCTCAGCAATGTTAAGGGAACAATCAGAAATAAAAGTGCATCTCTTTATATGTCACTAAACTAGTTATTCAGTTTCTTAAAAACCATCTCCATTCTGACATCAGACATGGAGAGGTTACAACTCTTGGGAATAACTTGCTTACCTACAAATTGGGAATGCAGTTAATTAGATCACGTTTTGGATTTTAAAATACGACTTGTGCAAAAAATAAATGTTTTTGGGTCAGCAATTAACATGGTGGTTGAGGCTCTGGACTCTTGCATGGCTGACTGCAGTTTGCGTTCTGTACCCAGTGGATTGCTTTCTCACTATCTCTCTCCTTCTCTCTCTCTCACTTTCTCACATGTATGTCCTTAGCCAATTAAAGAAAAATAACAATGATAAATAAAATTAAATAAGTAATTCTTTAAAAAGTAAAGGAGTCTATAAGAGGTCTTCAAAAGCTTATGGAATTATGTATTATGAAAAAACTATGTATGAGTTTCAATTTTTGGCATGAAAATATGTTTAGACTTTAATTACATTTTTTCATAAAATTTTTGAAGTCTCCTACAGACTTCAAGGAATGGTACATTAGGCAAGTTTCAATACTGGAACTAAATTTATTCCACTTTGCCTGTATATTCTCTGTTAGTGACTTACAACGCAACACAGAAATATTATGACACAGAAATATTAGGTGCAGTAAATGACACTGTCAATCTGACTTTGCTCCTTCTATGCTAGGACCAACTCAAATCCCTTTTCACCTTCCATTCCTCAACTACCTGTTCCCCACATCAAATGCCCACGACCTGAAAAAGTCTAGAGTCTTTTCTGTTAGGAAATCAAATCATATAGGCTTACCTTCTCACAGAGTATTTATTCTATTCATTATGCAACCATAAATATCATTAAGATGAGATGCCAACTATTTATTTTAGAAATTGAGAGCACGGGCCAGAAAATATGGCAAGGACTACATAAAATACAAACAAAATTGGTCCAGAGGTCTGATGATGTTTCAAGATCAGTCTGACCTAATAGGGAGAAACGGGGTTGAGGGACAACATACCTACAGTCCAATGATCCACAGCACTGAGCAGGCTGTCCTTTGTCTTCTTCTAGTTTGGATGATGATCAATTTCAAATCTATTTTGTATTCTAGTAGAATTGAAATTTATAATATCACATGAAAACTGGACTATTCTGATCTCAAGAACATATGTCAGGGAACCAGCAGTTAGCGTAATGGCTATGTCGCTGGATTCCCACGTAGTCGACCGCGGTTCATGTCCCCGACCCGGGGGCTTTAAACTCACGCCGGGCTTGTGAGCACGCATGCCCAAGATCCCGAGAGGAGAATGGAGGAGAAGGGATTGCGGCATGACCATCCCCCCTGGGGGGTGATTTCTCGCTTT